GTGCGCAGCGTGCTGAGGGTGGTGCTGAGCGCCAACGGCACCTACAGCTGCCTGGTGCGCAACCCCGTGCTGCAGCAGGACGCCCACGGCTCCGTCACCATCACAGGTGAGGCGGCTAAAGGACAGCCAGAAAGGATGCCGTTTTTCAAGATCAGTCCTTCCACTGGAATTTAAATTAGCGGGTCGGAATCGACTCCACAGCAGTGGGTTTGGGTTTTTTTGATTTGGTCAAAAGACTTTAAAAACCGCTTTCACACATTTCAGGTGTTTCCAACTCTCCCCAACAAGAAGTCCTTAAGGGACTTTAATGAGCTGATAAGAAAATCTTGCAGTATTTTACCTCCAAAGAACGCCTTAGGTGGTCCTTGTGCTTTTTATGTAGGGGACAAAGTACCCTCCTGGAACCTGGAGGCGTGGGTGGAGTCCTGGGGCAGCCTCAGGGCGGCCTGGGGCTATGGTGATGGAGCGGTTTCTGACGGGAACCTCGCCAGGGCATGGGAAGGTATTGCTGCGCAGGTGGGCACTATCTGATTCTGAACCCCTGAGAGACAGCTAGGCCTCTCCAGGCGGTCGGACCCCTAACTTGGGCCGATGTCCGCTCTTCTTCCGGCAGAGGTGAGCTCCACCATGGTAGGAGTTGGAATAGCTGGAGCTGGCTCTGCTGCCCCCATGTGGCCAGATTCTAGATGGAGGTCGCCCATTTGGCTATTCCCTCAAACTCGGGTGTTTCTGGGATCCTGGCCTAGGCACCCTTCCCTTCCTTTAGTGCCCACCTCAGGGGGCACCCCTTGTGCCTGGTGGTATGCAGAGGACTCGGGCCCACATTCAGGCCAAGGGAGGCAGACTCCATCCGTGTTTGGACCTGAGAATCCTTGAGCCACTTCTTCCCCAGGCTTGTTAGTTTGCCTGCCTCCTCCATCTCTCCCCCTGGGCCGCCCTGCACACTCTGGGGCTAGGACAGCTGGTTCTGTCTGTCCGGTTCTCCTCTTTTCTCTTCCCATGGCTTCTACTCGTGCGCCTACCCCATCCAGGTCTGATCACCTGGCCCCCAGTTTCTGCACAAACCTCAAAACTCGCTGACTTGTTCCTGCTTTGCTTCTCCCCCTTGAGTGCACCACTGGGCCTTATATGGTCCTCACATGCCCAGAGCCACTGCCTCTTACACTCGTCTTCTAGGAGTTCATGGCTTAGTCCTTCTGTTCTGGGCATTTCCTTCTAGCCAAGCTGTGTTCCCTCTGCCCACCCCTGCCCCAAGATTGAACCCATCCCCTTCCTGGAGACCTGTTGGGTCTTTGCTGTCTGGATGGGAGTCACTTCCCTGGGCTCTTCAATGCTGTGAGATGTCTCTTGGACTTTTAGAGAGCCCCACATGGTCTGGTGGTGAAAATGCTGTGTTCACAGGAAACAGTAACAAACACAGGATAGAGTGAGATTGTCGGGGATGTGAAGTTTTCAGGGAAGGAGAGGGGTGTCAGGAAGTGGCCGGGAAAAGCCTCTATGGAGTGGTGTGAATTGAGCGGAACCCTGAAGGACAGGTGGGCTTCGTGATCATTTATTTGCACACTGGGCTGAATTAGATAGTTGCGCTACTGAGCAGAACATGTATGAGTATAAATGTGATTGCAGAGAGAATGTTTATTCTACCTAAGAGAAATACCTGTTTTGAGTTGCTTTAGCAGCTCTCATTTCTTACAAAACACTTAACCTGCTAATTACAAATAACAGTCATTCTTTACATTTGTATGACGCTGAGAGTTCTGAAAAGTGCTTTCGTTGAGGCTGGTGTTGCCAAGCACATTTCCTGGACGAGGGAACTGAGATCCAGAGAGGAGTTTTCCCCAGGCCACAGAATAGCACAGTGGCTCTGAATCCTTTGAGGAATCTTTGAAAATTGGATAAATGATAAGGACCTTCTTCCCAGACACATGTGCAATTGCATATGCTAGTTTTGAGGGTTCCTGGCCCCCCTAAACCCACCCCTGGAGGTCTGTGGACCCTGGCACCAGCACCCTGCAGTGAGTAGATGAACCAGGATCAGAATCCAACTTTGGCCTCTCGGCCTAATTTCCTTTCCTCCCCACCGCCTACCTGGCCTCCTGTTTTTGTTAGAGCAGGTCTGGCCTACTTTGGAGCCCTTGGCCTGTATTTTGCTTCAGGGAGCTTTGTGTCTTATAAAACAGTCTGGGATTCAGACTTTGAGGCATCTGGCCTGGTTGCTCCCACAGCCGATGGAGGTTAGTGAAGCTTACTGTGCTCTAAGGAGTCTCTGTGTGGAGGGGGCTTTATGCAGCGAGCACTGGGCTGGGGCCTGAAGATGTGGGTCTGAGCCCAGCTCTGTCCTTTAGTGCTTGAGTGGGGTCGAGTCTGACCTGTGTTCCAGGCACCAACACCAGCCTGGGGGTGACCATAGACACAAGCACCCCGCAACTCCCTCCTCCACTGCAGGAGCCCCATCCTGGGACCCCAGGGGTTTCTCATATGTGCTCCTGGCCACCCGTGTCAGCGGCTACCCTCTCCTGCTCCTGCTCTGAAGTTAGTGGGCAGCCATAGGTTCTTGAGCATCATTCAACTGCAGACCCTTCAGCCTTCCCAGGTTGGAACAAGTCCACATCAGCCATGGCTGCATCTGAGTTTGGAAGGAATACGGATGAATGGGAAAGGGGCATTGAGATTGTACGTGAGCTCTGTTCATAGTGCTGGGGCCCAGTGAGGGCCGGAGCCCCAGCCTTTTTCACACCTTGGGTACTGCCCTCAGGGCAATGAGGGCCAGGCATGATATTCTCCCCAAATTCCCTCCCAGGGCAGCCCATGACCTTCCCCCCTGAGGCCCTGTGGGTGACCGTGGGGCTCTCCATCTGCCTCGTCGCGCTGCTGGTGGCCCTGGCCTTTGTGTGCTGGAGGAAGGTCAAACAGAGCTGTGAGGAGAACGCAGGTGAGTGGGAGAGAGAGGGTGTGAACATGTATGCACACAACTGTGGGCTTGGGTATGTGGGTGTGCCTGTGATAGCAGGAGAAGTGTCGAGAACGATAGAATGGGTGTGGGGATGCAAATTGAGCTGGATTTAGTGTGTGTGTGTGCGCGCGCGCATGTGCGTGCGCGCGCGCGTGTGACCTTGAGGCTGAATGTGTCTTCTGTGTGTGGGCAAGTGTGAGCCTGTCTGGCAGTGTGCAAATATAGCAGGATGAGTGTGGCTATGAGTATAGCTGGGAGTGAGTGGGTGGATGTGCGAGGCTGCAGTGCGACGGGAATGAACGTGTCTGTGCAAAGAAGAGTGAGTATGAGCGTGTAAGTCAGTGAACCTGAGCGTGTGAGGGAGAAGGCGTGGGACTTTAGCCGCGCAGGTGTGCATGTTCCGTGGCTTTGTGTCGCTGTGTGTGAATGTCGGCCTCAGTGGGGAGATTCTGAAGCAGATACCCTTTGCCTGGTGGAGCATCAGTATGAGTTGACTTTGGCGATTGGTAGATGGGTGATTTGATGTTGGTAGATAGTGAGTCGACCTTGGTAGGTGGCTGAGTTAACTCTGGTGAGCGGCGGATGGACGAGTAGACATTGTGGATGGGTAAGTTGACGCTGCTGGGTAGTAGATGGGTAAGCAGAGGCATGAGAGTAGATGGGTAGTCAGAGGCTGAAAGAGGACTAGCTATCAGGAAGTAGAGTGTGTGTGTGAATGGAGAAGAGACTGGTCGGTTGACAGCTGGGTGAGGACTTGTGCACTAACAGCTGAGTGGGCCGAAGAAGGATGAGTGGATAGATAGATGGATGGGTGTATGTGTTTGGTGCCTGGATGGATGAGGTGACGGGGTTGGTGGGTTGGTGGAAGGGTGGGTAGAGGGTCCTTGGCTAGATGAGTGGTAGTCTCCAGGCTGGGAGCCCTTTTGCCCTGCCACAGGGCTCTGCTCTGCTCTGTGATGGTCTCAAGCTCTGACCCTGTGTCCAGCATTGGACCACAGTTCAAGCCTGCTTAGGCCTCACTTACCTCCACTCCCAGGTCGGAAATTCAGTGACGAAAGTGGGGCTGAGAAAGGTTTTTGTTCACTCAAATTTTTTGTCTCCCAGGGGCTGAGAACCAGGATGGGGATGGAGAAGGATCCAAGACTGGTGAGCCAGAACCTGGAGCTGACCTTCTGGGCTGGGGAAAGCTCATGAAGAACAGGGGAGAGGACCCCACAATCTGGGGGCATCAGATTTGCTTTAGATTTGAATGAAGTTTGTTGTCTGGCCTGAGGCCTCTCAAGCCAGAGAGTTTGGTATTTGCTCAGAGTCAGACCTAAAGATGGATGTCCTCTGATTCCCTTCCAAGTGGTGCTTCTTTTCTCCTGCCTACCTCTACCCACCCACCAGAGCTGGTTCCACCCTGCGTGACCCTGCACTGCAGAGTCTGGTGGCTTCCTAGAGGTAGGCTCAGAAGACAGGGCAGTCCTGGGCACAGATTTGGAGTGAGACAGCCTGAGTGGCCTTGGGCAAATCACTTTGCCTCTCTGAGCCTTCTTTTCCTTATCTGTAAAGTGGACATCATAACAGGACCTGCCTTCATACGTCATGTGGGTTAAATGAAAGGAGATAATGTGTGGAAAGTGCCTAGTTTTGTACCTGTCACCTGGTAAGTGCTCAGTATATTGGAGCCCCATTATTAGAGAAGTAGTTAAAGACATCACCACTCTAGTTAGAGGCTCCGTGACTTTGGGCAGGTGCTTTGCTCCTCTGGGCTTTGGTTTTCCCATCTGTAAAATGGTCAGGCTGGCGCCTGCCCTCATGACACCAAAGGACTGGTTAAAGCTCCCTGGAGAACGGATAGGAAGGTGGCTTGCAAAGGACATGGTGCTGTGGGGATACCAACCAGGAGCCCAGCCTGGGGTGGGTGCCAATTCACTCGCACCGTGGCCACCAGAGGCCTTGCTGCCTTCCATTCCAGCGGCTTCAGGGCTGCGGGAGGCAGATGCCTGCTGAGCCATTTGGGACGGTTCCCTCCCCACCCCCACAGAAGGAGTAGCAGGAGATTGGCCTGGAGATTGCTGCACATCGTGCCAGTTAATCACCTGGCACCCAAGGGTGCGGCACCCGTGGAGACAGCCCTGGGATCGGGCCTCATTTTTCATGCTCAGAGACAGATGTGGTTGGAAGAAGGGAGGGGGTGGGGAGAAGAGCGTGAGTGAGAGATTTGCACAGGCTCCTTCCGCGTGGCCCCGGACCCGCCTCTGGCTGTCTAAGATATCCCAAGTCCTCCGTTAGCTCCCTACTTTGCCCCTATTTGGGGAGTGGGCTCAGTGCATTTTCACATCTCTAGCTCATTTCCGGCAGGGTGATTGTTCCCATTCTATACATGCAGAAAACTGAGGTCCAGAGAAGGGGGTGACAAGCCACAGTGGAGCTTGGGACAGCAGCCTAGGGCTCCTTCCCTGGTGCTGCAATGTCGTCCCCACCCTCCCGACTTCCCCCTCTACCTTTTGTCTCCTCCTCCCCGTTCTTCTTCCTCAGCTCCTGTCCCTCTCCCCTCTGCTGACCCCGTCCCGCCACTTCCCACGGTCCCCTTCTCACAGCATGCTCTGTCCTTTTTTGCAGCCCTGCGGCCTCTGAAACACTCTGAAAGCAAAGAAGGTAAAGACACGTGGTACTTGAGCCTGGGTCTGTGTGCTGTGCATCTGTGTATAGGAGGCTGGGAGGGTTCGCAGGTGACCTGAGGTTCCCTCCCTGGGAAATCTGCCTCGACTTCCCCCCTTGTGGGATGGCGTAGGGCTGAGTACCCGAGGTCCCTGGATTAGTCGGGATACAGGTCCCAGCTGCTCTGTAAAGTGCTGTGTCAGTGTCCCCAGTGGCAGCAGTGGAGGCCTAGGTTGGGGCCTGAGGGATGGAGATAAGTGATCCCCGCTGTTGTTCTGGACCAAATGAGGCATAGAAGAATCAAGCAGTTGGAGAGCAGAATGTCAGCTGGGTTTCTGGGGGATGTAGCCTGGGTGTGTGAAGCAGCAGGCTTCCCACTCCTGCTTCCCTGTGAGGCAGCCTGGGGCCTGGTCTCTGGCCAACTGGACAACCACAGAGACAGCCCCTGATGGGAAAGTGATCGAGGGCACGTTCCCTGCAGACAGAAAGAGCCCAAACAGGGGCGAGGTCACATGCCAGGTCCCTCTTCCTTCAGGTCAGGGAGTGCAGAGAGGCCAGGGGTGTGAATCTAAGAAGTCCAAGGGAGGAGGAACCCCCACAGCATCATTCTTGGGGAAATCAGTAGGAGAAGGGGCAGTTGGGAAAGGGTTTCTGGCTAGAGGAGGGGCCTTCGAGGACGGATTGGATGGACAGGCAGGGGGAGATGGGAAGGGAAAAATATCCCAGCTGAAGGGACCGACTGGGAGGTCAGAGCTTGTGTAGTGTGAGTGGCCCATGGGGAAAGAGAGCACGGGGACTGAGGACAGTCTCCCTTGGGCACCTTCCTGGCCATGTCTTCCTGGCCATGTCTGATACTCAGCTCCCGTGCTTGTGTCTGGGCCTGTGAGGGCAGTGGTTGGCACAGGGGGATGTCGGTTGGACTGCTGCAGCCAGTCTCACACCCACTGTCAACCCTGAATATGTGACCAAACCTGGGGTGCTGGTGCGTCCCCATCCACTCCTTGCCCTAGAGTAGAACTTGCGAAGTTTACTGTTGTTTTCTGCTTTTTTCTTCCCATCATGAAATGCAGATGGACAAGAAATAGCCTGACCATGAGGACCAGGGAGCAGCTGCCCTGCTTGGGGCCCTCCCCTCCGGTTGTACTGGGCCCTCAGTATGAGCCCAGGGCTGGGGGGTTCCCTGCCCCCAACAGACGAGTCCCACTCTGGCAAGTCTACTCACTCTCCAAAGGACACGACACATAGACTGACCCCCGTCCCCACCACCTTATTTCTCCAATGGATATGATTCCCAAGTCACCCTGCTGTCTTATTTCTCTGGTGACACAATACATAAACCATCCTGCTGCCTTATTTCTTGTGGACACAGCTACAGAACACCCTGCCACCTTATTTCTCCAATGGATATGCTACTTGGACCATCTGGCTACCTTTTTCTCCAAAGGATGTGTCTTAGTCATCTAGTGCTGCTATAACAGAAATACCACAAGTGGATGGCTTTAAAAAAGAGAAATTTATTTTCTCACAGCCCAGTAGGCTACAAGTCCAAATTCAGGGCATCAGCTCCAAGGGAAGGCTTCCAGTCCAAATTCAGGGCATCAGCTCCGGGGGAGTGCTTTCTCTGTCGGCTCTGGAGGAAGGTCCATGTCATCAGTCTTCCCTTGGTCTGGGAGCTTCTCTGCGCAGGAACCTCAGGTCCAAAGGTGGTCTGCTCCTGGCACGGTTTTCTTGGTGGTATGAGGTTCCCCCTTCTCTGCTTGCTTCCCTTTCCTTTTATCTCTTGTAAGGTAAAAGGTGGTGCAAGCCACACCCTAGGGAAACTCCCTTTACACTGGATCAGAGATGTGACCTGGGTAAGGGTGGTGTTACAAACCCACCCTAATCCTCTTTAACATAAAATTATAATCACAAAATGGAGGCCAACCACATAATTCTGGGAATCATGGCCCAGCCAAATTGATACACACATTTTTGAGGGGACACAGTTCAATCCATTGCAGGATGCAATACTCAGACCAACCCTTGGCCTTGTTTCTCCAAAGACACGATACAAGTCACCCCTTGCTTTGTTTCTCCAGTGGCCCTGATACAGTAGTTATCATTTCGCAGTCTTCTAGTCCTGATTTCCTCTGTGATAATCTGTAGTCCCATCTCTCAGATAAGGGCCCTGCAACCTCAGCAGCTCTTTGAGTCTGGAGGCTGTCTCTTCCTGCCTCCTCCTTCTCTGGCCCCAATGCTGGGCTTTTTCTTCCTCCACTGAGTCAAAACAGGGCACACACAGCCCCTTACAGGTGTGCAGAGACACACAGGTGCACGTGCTGGAACACGTATGCCCCTCCCCACCCTGTCTCCTTTGTGGTGCCTGGGCTGTGCCCTCTGAGCACCCTCCTCTCTGCCCAGCCCTCCTCATTGAAGCGTGTGCTGGTCACACTGCCTGTCTGGATGTGTGCTATGGGGCTCCCCACTGAGGGGTCAGCTTCTGTTCCTCTGTCTTTCCCACCTTGGGAGCCGCAAAACAGCTCTGATTTCGTTCCTTTTGTTTATGCATCCAATTACTGTTTATTGAGCATCCACAGGGTGTCGGTACTGTGTTAGGTGCTGGGGACCCTGAGTGAGAAGACAAGTCACTCCCTCAAGTATCTCACCATCCGCCTGGGAAACCCTCGAGGAAACAGACAAGGAGCTGTGCACCAGCCTGGGGGACAGTCAGGGTGGGTGGTTCATGGTGGGCGGCTTCTGAATTTCTCCCTGTTGACCCCTCTTCTGTGCCCACAGCTTCTGGATACCTCACCCTACCCCATCCCTAATCCTTACCCATGGGGTGGGGGCAGAAACTGGAGAGAGGACTGTAGCCTCTTGCCACAACTGGGGACTCTGATGGTTTCCAGTGTCTTGCTGGGTGTGAGCCTGGAACAGCTGGCAGGTGGGCAGGTGGCCATGGGCCCCCAGACCTGGGATAGCAGCAGCCTAGGGGACTCCTGAGGCCTCCCTCATTGGCTGGATTTGGGGGGCAGGGTGAGGAGGGCTGCAGGACACAGGCACTGTCCCCCACCAGCCATGGTGCTATTTTGGGGCTGGGGCCCCCACCTGGCTTGTCTGGCCAGCCTCCAGTAGACTAGAACTTCTGATGTTCTGATGTCTTCCTGGTGACAACGGCTCTCCCCCCGGAATGGAGTACATGGGGATTTTTAATTTAAATGTGGGACTCTGAGGAATTTTGTAAACTGGGGGAGTATTGGGGAAAAATAAATGCCTTTGTAAAAAGCTTTCTGTGCGTGTTTGGAAGAAGAGTGGGGCATCAGGACTCAGCAGGAGGATTTCCTGCTGGAAGTTTCAGGGTGGTGTGGGGAGGCCTGGGTCTCCTTATGCTCACCGTTCTTAAGTGACTGTGTTTCTGTGACCATGTGCCACCCCCCTCCCGGGCCTCAGTTTCCTTGTTAGTGAAGTGAGGTCGGATGACCAGAAAGCCAAGCCCTTTGGTCGCCATATGGGGCTCCTCCCACTCCTAGGAGCACAATCTGGTTTCTTTATCTCAGAAGATTCAGTCCCTAGGATTGTTTAGGGCCATGGCTAATGCCCCATTTTATTGATGGGGAAGCTGAGACCCAGTACCCGAAAGGAGTTCTGTGAGCTATTCGTCGCCCACCCAGTGGAATGAGCATCAAGCTGGGGTCAGAGGTCCGGGCCCAGGACCTAGTTCTGTCTTGTGACCTTGGGCAGTATATTTAGTTTCTCTGGGCTTTATTTTTCGCATGTGAAAAACGGCACATTGCAGTTTTAACCACCTTCCACCTCAGAAGACTGAGAGGAGGAGTGAGCGTTGAAGGCAAACAGGTTTCCAGGGAGAACCAGGTCGAGGGATGAAGGAGCCCGGAGAGCACTCTGTGTCCGTTTGCCCGTTGGTGACAGTGCCTCAGCTCTCGGCCGGCCAGTCAGTCCCCGGAGCCTCACAGGCCCAGAGCAGCAGGAAGAGCCTGGGCTGGGAGTCAGGACGCTTGACTTTTAATCCTGGCTCTGCTACTAACTGACTGAGTCCCTGAACTTTTTTTTTAATCTCTTAACTCTCTCTTAACTAGGAGTGTCCCTGGGTGGCACAAACAATTAAGTGCTCAACTACTTGCCGAAAAGTTGGCACTTCAGACTCACCCAGAGACACCTCAGAATGAGACCTGGCATTCTGCTTCTGAAAGGTCACAGTCTTTAAAACCCTGTGGAGCAGTTTTACTCTGCACACATGGGGTCACCACGAGTCAGAATCGACTCAACAGCAACTAAGAGCAACAACAACCCCTCTCCTGAAAAGTATGGGGCATTCTGCATAAACGGGGGGTTATTGTAAGGTCGGTGACTGTAGAAGTCACCCTGCTTGTGCGCTTGGTGAGTTTTAGAATCAAAGGACTTGGGCCTTTGCCCTTTATACTCCCCGAGTCCCTCTGAGCATGTCACCTCACTTCACTGGGCTTCAATCCCCACCTGTGAAGTGGGGACAACAATAGTTTGTTTCATAAGATTGTTGTGAGAATCGGACCAGACACTAGGTGAAGAGACACGCTGCCAACTGTAAGTGCTGGGCCCAGGGAGGGGTTAGCTTCTTCTCTTCCTGCAGTCAGCGCTGCACACTCTTGCTCCCAAGGTGATTGTATAGATGGAGTGCAGTGACCCAGAGCACGTGTCTGAGCCTCAGTTTACCCATCTGCAAAACGGGCCAGGATAAGGTTCAGATACGATGCTATATCAAGTGCTCAAGGGAGGGACCCAGTAGGTGTGGGACTTGCCTGGAGACTGAGGGGTGAGGAAGGTGGCCACTGAGTCCCGATGATGAGTGCCCCAGAGAGCAGTATTTTTAGCTGCCTTCCTGGGCAAAGCTCCAGCTCCTGCATTTTAATGGAGAAATAATTCTCACAGTGCGACATGCTGTAGCCTGCAGGTGTCACATCCATATTAAAGAGAGGACAGAGCAAGGGTTCATTTGCCTGGCTGAAGGTGTGACTGGAATTCACCTCCAGGACCATTTGTAACAAAGGCTGTGAAGGATGCTTAGCAATCTGACCACTCAGAGGAAGAAGGCTTGGCGGGGGAGGGGGTGGCAGCATGGCTGGGGTGCGCCCTCAGTCATCCTGCCTCTTTCTCCACCTGCTTGTTTCCTCTTCCAGGCTGCTCTGGCATGAACGGCGCCTTCCACAGGATTCTATTCAGGGAGAGGCATCTGACCTTGCTGGGACCTCGGAGGCGATTGCTGGGTGGGATGTTGGTGAATGTGTGTGAACCAATGGTCAGAGACCCTGGCAGATTCTGAGCTGTCCCATGATCCTGTTGCAAAGTCCACTGCTTAAACTGAGAAGTGAAGCCAAAGCTTGCCCTGAGTAGCCAAAAACTGGGGCCTTCAAGTGCATGGACCTCACAGAGAAGCAGGAACCAGAGGCCCAGGGACCACAAGGAACCGGAATGGGGAGGGGGAGGGGATGGCTGGTGGGCAGCAGAGTCAAACAATACAAACACAACAATACGGAAATGTATCAAGTGGTTGTCCTCACTTCTAGTCCCCACACCCCCAGGGGGAAGCACTAGCAACAGTCTGCCGACCTTCCAGAGGAGTCCCAGGGTGGTGTACACAGTGAACACGCTGGGCTGCTACTTGGAAGGTTGGAGGTTCAAGTCCACCCACAGGTGCCTCGGAAGAGAAAGATCAGCCATTGAAAATCCTATGGAGCACAGTTCTACTCTGATACTCTGGTGGTTTGCGTGTTGCTGTGATGCTGGAAGTTATGTCACCAGTATTTCAAATGCCAGCAGAGTCACTCATGGTGGACAGATTTCAGCGGAGCTTCCAGACTAAGACAGACTGGGAAGAAGGACCTGGTGATCTACTTCTTAAGAAACTGGCCAGTAAAAACATTAAGAATAGCAGCGGAACATTATCCAATATACTGCCGGAAGCTGAGCCCCTCAGTTTGGAAGGTACTCAAAAGACGACTGGGGAAGAGCTGCCTCCTTAAACTAGGTCAACCTTAATGACATGGATGGAGTCAAGGTTTCTGGACCTTCATTTGCTGACGTGACACGACTCAAAAAGAGAAGAAACAGCTGCAAACATCCATTAATAATAGGAAAGTGGAATGTTTGAAGTATGAATCTTGGAAAATTGGAAATTATAAAAAATGAAATGGAACGCATAAACATTGATATCCTAGGTGTCTTAGTCATCTAGTGCTGCCATAACAGAAATGCCACAAGTGGATGGTTTTAATGAAGAGAAGTTTATTTCCTCACAGTCAAAGTAGGCTAAAAGTCCAAATTGAGGGTGTCAGCTCCAGGGGAAGGCTTTTTCTCTCTGTCGGCCTTCTTCTCTTTGGTGTTTCCCCCGGACTAGGAGCTTCTCGGCGCAGGGACCCCGGTCCAAAGGATGCGCTCTGCTCCTGGCACTGCTTTCTTGATGGTATGAGGTCCCCCTGTCTCACTTCTGTCTTTTATATCTCAAGAGATTGCCTCAGGACACAATCCAGTCTTGTACATCAGGGCCTGCCTTACTAACACAACCGACACCCATCCTCCCTTATTAACATCATAGAGGCAGGTTTACAACATACAGGAAAATCACACAGTAGCAGGAATCATGGCCCAGCCAAACTGATACACACATTTTTGGGGGGACATAATTCAACCCATGACACTAGGCATTAGTGAGCTGAAATGGACTGGTATTGGCCTTTTTGAATCAGACAATCATATGGTCTACTATGCTAGGAATGAAAATTTGAAAAAGAATGGCATTGCGTTCATTGTCAAAAAGAACATTTCAAGATCTATCCTGAAGTACAACACTGTCAGTGATAGGATGACATCCATACGCCTACAAGGAAGACCAGTTAATACGACTATCATTCAAATTTATGCACCAACCACTAATGCCAAAGACGAAGAAACTGAAGATTTTTAGCAACTTCTGCAATCTGAAATTGATCAAACTTGCAATCAAGATGCATTGATAATTACTAGTGATTGGAATACGAAAGTTGGAAACAAAGAAGGATCAATAGTTGGAAAATATGGCCTTGGTGAAAGAAATGACGAGGGAGATCCCATGATAGAATTTTGCAGGACCAACGACCTATTCATTAGAAATACCTTTCTTTTTTCAACAACATAAATGGCGGCTATACATGTGGGCCTCACCAGACGGAATACACAGGAACCAAATCAACTACATCTGTGGAAAGAGACGATGGAGAAGCTAGATTCCATCAGTTAGAACAAGGCCAGGGGCCAACTGCGGAACAGACCGTCAATTGCTCATATGCAAGTTTGAGTTGAAGCTAAAGAAAATTAAAACTGTCCACAAGAGCCAAAGTACAAACTGAGTATATCCCACCTGAATTTAGACACCATCTCAACAACAGATTTGATGCATTGAACACTAATGAATGAAGACCAGATGAGTTGTGGGATGATATCAAAGACATCATACATGAAGAAAGCAAAAGGTCGTTAAAAAGACAGGAAAGAAAGAAAAGACCAAAATGAATGTCAAAAGAGACTCTAAACTTGCTCTTGAACATACAGTAGCTAAAGTGAATGGAAGAAATGATCACATAAAAGAGCTGAACAGAAAGTTTTAAAGGGCAGCTTGAGAAGACAGAAGTAAAATGTTATAATCAAATGTGCAAAGAGGTGGAGCTAGAAAAGCAGAAGGGAAGAACACGCTCAGCATTTCTCAAGCTGAAAGAACTGAAGAAAAAATTCAAGCCTCAAGTTGCAATATTGAAGGGTTCTATGGGCAAAATATTGAATGACACAGGAAACATCAAAAGAAAATGGAAAAACTACACAGTCACTGTGCCAAAAAGAATTGGTTGACATTCGACCATTTCAAGAGGTAGCATATGATCAAGAACCAATGATATTGAAGGAAAAGTCCAAGCTGCACTGAAGGCACTTGCAAAAAACAAGGCCTCAGGAATTGACAGAGTACCAGTTGATGTGTT